ATTCCCCCCAAGCATGCGATCCCGCACCTCTGGGTTGCTAACGTGGTGTTGCCACCATACCCGAGCAATCCTTCGTAGGCAGCGATTATCGAAGACTGACAGCCGCTTCAAATCTTCCGAGCGAACAGGCCAAGTCTCACAGCCGTAAGAGTACTTCACGGACGGAAGCACTGTACACCCTGCCCTTGAGCTAGAGACCGAAATCACGACGACGCCATGGGTGTCTCAGTTTGATGAATGCAAGACGGACGTTTGCAATCCGTTGTGAGACTACATCTCCAACACCGCCACCAGCCGTGATGCTACTCTCTATATAAGTAAAGCAAGGGACTTGTTCTAGAACATGTCCAGCAATGGTGAGCGCGGGTTCAAGCACCTGCCAGTCCTGGAGCAACGTTTTATATTTTCTTGGAGTGAAGCATAAGTCGCATTTAGACGCTTGCATCGCCAAGCGGTCCAAAGCGCTCTGGACGGATTGTGGGTCACCCCAGCAAGGCGATGTCATCGGCGTAGTCCAAGTCCGTGACTCTGTCTCCAGGGAGGAGCTCAACACCGCAGTCCTGGACACCTTCCAGTTCTCTTTGGAGAACATCTTAGATAGCGAAATTGAAGAGGAAAGATGAAATAGGGCAACCTTGGCGAACACCGCAGGTCACAGCAAATTAAGAAGAGTGCGTGCCGTAAGCCCTGACTTTGCCCGACGTGACTGTTAAGTTCGTTCAGGATAGTTACAAACTTGTCGGGCACACCTTTCTTCAGTAAACAGTTCCACAACGCAGACCTATCTACTGAATCAAATGCCGCTCGAATGGCTAAAAGCACTACGATTGTTGGCCGCCAGTGGATGTGACTAAGTTCGAGAACTTGCCGAAGCGTGAAGATTTGGTGAATACAGCCGCGGCCTGGAGGAAATCCGGCTGGTTCTTCCCGGGAAAACGCCTCCCTAGTCGTTGAAAGCCTGCTAAGCATGACCGATACGAAGATGGTGGATGCGACAGAGATTAACGAAATTCCATGGTAGTTCCAGCAATCGGCGCGGTAGCCCTTGTCGTGAATCGGAACAATGGCCGATTCTCCCCATGCGTTCAGAACCATCTCCTCAGTCCAAACTTTCGTGAACAGCGATGGGATTTCGCTGACAAGTACACTCCCGCCATCTTTGAATAGAGCCGGTGGTAGGTTGTGGGACCCGGTGCCTTGTGATGGTTCAAAGATTGGATTGCATTTCGAATCTCTGCTTCATTTGGGGGGGTTGTGGAGAAAGGTCAAGCATCATACATTGGGGCTGGTGTCACATGGGACTGTGTTGGGTGGTTGAAGTGAACAGCGAAATGCTCTGCCAAGCGACCCAATCGCTTGTGAAGGTTGGTGATCTTTGTGTCGTCCGATTCGCAAATCGTCTGGCTGATAGCGTGGAAATTGCAACCAGTGGCCCTGGTGATGTAAAATAGACGGCGGAAGTTGCCAGCTGATGCAGCGGTTTCCATCTCATCAGCTTGTTGTGACCACCAAGATTCACGATCAGAGCAAAGGCTTGCTTTCAGTTGTTGCATAATAGAACGGCGGTGTTCGTTGTACTCTGTGCCAGCAGGCACCGCCCGTCTGCGATCCAGCAATTCCGAGGATCTTCCCGAGATCCAGCTTTTGGGAGTGGAGCGAGCGAGGCCACAGCTGGACAAACCGACCGACAGCAAGGCTTGTTGCAGACTTGACCAGTGTTGATCAACATCCAGAGTGTGAGAGAGAACGAGATTTTTACGAAGCTTTTGTTGATACTTTTCTTCACATTGGGTCCTCCAACTTGTAGGTGTTCAGTCGGGTGTGTTTTGACCTAGGCGAACCACCGAAACGCATGCAAACGGTGGCACACACCAGTGCATGAGCAGCATCGACGCATGTTGACCAGAATGATCGGTAGTCGCGTACGCTGCCGCGCCACCTGCGACTTATAGCTATGTGGACAATCTGTGACCAGCGCTGGGTTGATGATGGGGGGGGGGGGCAAGTGGCGTACTGGCGTCCAGGATGACGAAAGCTGGTGCTGGAGAGAAATAGTTGATGATCAGCACACAGACTGAGTAGTCTCTCCACAATCTGAGCGAACATCATCATATCCATGCGGGCCCCCGAGGTGGCGCTCGCATGGCAGCAGACGACCGACACTCGCGTTGAAGTCACCTGCCAAAACAATGATGTCTGTATTAGGAGCCCTTAAGAGCAGCTCATGAAGGTTCTGGTAGAACTGGTCTTTGACGGTGTCCGAGCTACAGTCAGTGGGCGCGTAGGCAGAGATCACGAAGAGAGCACGCTTTTCGACTCGACGTCTGCTAACTTTACAAGAGCCATGGAGACTCATCGCACAAAGGCGGCTATTAATCGGAATCCAATCAATCAAAGCAGTCTCGGCTCGAGCACTGAGGGCGATTGCAACACCAGCTTGCCCAGATGCGGCACACTCGGCGTCACCAAAGAGGCGTAGATGGAAGCGGGTGCATGGGTGGAGCGGTGACACCAGCCGGTAGACCGAGTTAGAGTCCTGGAGTCGTGTTTCAGTCAGGCAGCAGATATCAATTCCAAGGGTCTCTAGCGTGCGTGCATGTCCAGCTTGCTGACCAATCTGCAGTAATGTGCGTAAGTTGAAGGCTGCAAGTTTGAACTGCGTTCCGGGTTGCAGGAGCGAAGATGGGCGACTTTGGGACCAGCAGCTCTCTGTTGAGTACTGTGTGGTCAAGTTGGCAGATATCACGGGAACAGGTGCATCAGTGTAGGTGGGGTTGACCGCCATAGAGGAATCAGGTAAAAATGGGTGTGAATGGTACAAGGGAAGGGTAGGTAAAATGGTGGCGTGTGCTTGTGCGGTTGGCATAGTGACATGAGTGAATAGCATGGTAGCAGCAAAACAGCGGGTGAATGGTTGTAGTTGTAAGTCCATGGTTCGTCAGTGGGAGAGATACTACCCGGTTGCCCAGGCCGAAGTAGAGGGCTGTCTTACGGGGCCCTACCCCGAGCCTTTGCTCAAGGATCTAACCTACAAGGCAGCAGAGTGATATAAGGGTATCGCAACCCGTTGGGAACCGGTGACCAAATAAGTGGTTTATACGGCTTTAGGACCGTATAGGACTAGGGGCCCAACACACCCTTGAATAACAATGCGACTCAGAGGCAAGGCGCAGTGACTTTATTTAGTGGCGAGTCACATCCGCCACGCCACAGTGTTGTTAAACGGACATATGTGGCTTTTTATAGGAAGAACGCTTGCCAGGCGAAAACCCACTACGTCCTGGAACACTGCCGCCGAACCACTGGCTGGAACGGGATTTTCCAGAACCACCCAGCTGGCACCACGAGGAAGTTGTTCGGCAAGCCAGCCAGTAAGTATAGGAAAGAAAGCAATAAGCCCCCTTGACGCACTTTGGGGGCTTCTGTATATTACCACAATTTTGTATTGCGTGAAAGTTGCACACATCAACCGAAAGAGCTCCAGCAGTTACATCAGTGGAATTGAACAAATATGTTCGTAAAGCAGTCAAAGTAGATCTGATTACAAAGCAGCTCTACCTAAGCGACAGAATGAGACGCGACCAGCCAGGCAGAAACACTTCACTGTCCAGGATGTCGGAGAACAGCTACGTTTTAGTAAAAGCAAGTATGTCTGCCCGAGAGCTTTCTACAAGAGTTCCGATTTTGCACATCTTGTTCCTCAAACTACGCAAGTTGCTGAGGACTACTTTAAGGAAAGTGGGATCATGAGCCGGGGATCGTGTGCCATCAGAACAGGCTCTGAAAAGGCGAAAGTAGACCATCGGTTCTTCATCCGAAAACCCAACAATCGAAGACCCGTTTAACCCGCCTCGCGAAGGGTTTTAGGTCCTTTATGGCGACTTTCAATTTCAACCTATCTGCCAAAAAGAGGTCAAGTTGAATACTGACCCCAAAACGCAGAACCATCTTACGCTCATCCAGTGTTGGAAGAACGATTCTCAGTAAACAGGGTTTGACGTCCGACACATCGACCGGCAGACTCAAACCTAAGGAATTGCCTTACAGCTACGCCAGGAAACCTGGGCAGTGGGGGGTTTAGAAACGCAGATCATAAACCATTGAAGAGCATCAAGCATTCGCTCATTTGAAAGGGCGGCCGTGGACTCCGTGACATTCCTGACAACGACACTATTATCAGTGTAAGAATCACTGCGGCAATGGATGCCAACTGCACGCGCCATAGTCGCAGGAGCTCGCAATTGGGTGGCTGGCTGCTTGGATGCACTACCTGCGTAGGGAGAGACATTGGGCAGAGACCGAAGAACTCAATACTGAAGGATCTGCAAGTGACGTGCATACTAGACCTGTACAGTCCCTTACTACCATAGATTTCAAAATTATAGCTCTTCTTTTCTTGCTCAGCGTACGTTTGCTAGGAAGGGGGTTTGCAACACTGTCTCTAGCAGTGAAAGCACGTACTCTTCTCAACTGTTCGTCGCCAACTAGCTCATAATCAGTTGTTAGAAAGGATGTTAGGTCGACGGAATCCGTCTGCGTGCTATTATCCTTCAATTTTACCTGGCCGAGAACAACGAAGGATGTCACGCCATAGGAAATCAACTTTCCCATGCAAAGAAATCAACGGCAGACACTCCATGTTTGCTAGTCTGGAAACGTGTTAATCAAAGCACTCCTACGTGGTTACACAATGTTGAGCTTTAGGCTTAAAACAATCGTCACAGCTATAAAGTAACCGCTCGTCGTTTGCCAAAAGAGCATACTGATCTGCAGGCAAACCGGTGCATGTCTCATGGAACCACCTACCGCAAACATCGCAATGCATAACATCTGTTAAGGCGGTTACAAGTATGGAGCATCTAAACCGTACAGATCGGAAGACACACAGCTTTTTTAACCAGCTTGACTGCAAATAAGAAAACGTGAAAGTAGAAGGAAAAGTGAGGACTGGTTTGCAATGGAAAACAATGCAGTCAACGAGAGCAAAGTCGGATAATAACCGGATCGTACCCGATGTGATGCATTTTTTCGGACAGGACAGCGTCTATACAAACGTGGGGATTAGGTGAAAGTTTGCAAGATTTCCTGGTGTCGCTTTCGTGCAGATGAAGGACTCGGCGTATGTGGGAAGTTGAAAGACAGGTGACGGATTCAGATTCACGTGGGACTGGAACGACAGGAAAATCTCTTGAGTGTTCCTTCTTGAGCGGATCGCGCAGATTTATCAAGGGTCGTCCTATATGGTGCATACAGCAGAGCGGATAAGCGAAAACATGCTACTGCTGGCGCCTCCCTTGTTTTTTTCCACCTGTTTCGCTTACTCCCATCCAAAGCACCATTATTAACATTCCTTCTATAATTCGCAGCTTAGCTGACAGCAACCGAAGTGCCACTGGAGTAGAACCATCTGCAGCCACCATCCCACCGCACCTATCGGCAACAGTGCTTCATAAAGCCACGCTCCCTCGTGTCCATGGCGACGTACAACGTTCGCACTCTAAGACAAACTGGTAAACAGGCTGCACACGCACGCAGCTTGGACCCACCATGGGTATGGATGTGTGTTATGTGTCCGAAACTAGGACCAATGACTCTACTGGGTTACTGCAGTAAGTGCGCCCGGTTTATCCTCTCGCTACTTGTTGCAGGCATTCGGAGATGCTGATGCAGCACTCACGGGTCAAGCTGGTGTAGGTACCATTTCTAAGCTCCTAGGCTGAGTCATCATTCGTTGGTTGGATTCCGGTAAACAGCCGTTTATGTGCAGTCCGTTTGACGACATCAGCTAAAATTAATTCATGAAAACGGTTTGTTTGTGAGTTCTGCTTATGCTCCCAACGAATGCCGTTCTGATGCCACCAAGGACAAATTGCATCACGAACTGAACGCGCTAGTATGCGGTGTTACCAGTTCAGATATTATAGTACTTGCAAAGGATATGAACGCACAAGTAGGGCGTCTGAGCTCTTCGGAAGCTCACCTGGGTGGTAATTGTGGGCTTAACTCCGAGCGGACTGACAAAAGTGAGCGTCTGCTGCAACTGTGCACGGAGCACCAGTTGTTTCTTAGTAACACTGATTTTAGACACAGTGGGAGACGAAGTGCCAGTTGACGTCCTCCCGTAGCTGGCCAGCGATGGATCCAAATTAACCACGTAGCTATAGGTTACAGGTGGCGTGGTTCCATCATGGATTGCCGTTCGTACAGAAATACCTGCGTCGACTCTGATCATGTCTTAGTACGCTGTTGTTTCGCCATGAACTTTACCGGGAAGTGCACCAAGCGTCAACTCCGAGTGGCAACTGAGAAATCGTCTCAGCGCTCAGTCAGGCAAGCCTATTAAAACGCACAACGTATTGAACTTTCCCTATCTTGTCCTAATGACCCGAAGCTCCAGTGGAATAGTATCTCGGCCGCCATGCACGACGTAGGAGCATCCGCTTGTGGCACTATCAATCGTCACCGCACCAGTCACTGGATATCCGAGAGGTCGGTGAACCTGTTGAGATCTATAAGAAACCTCCCGGTTGTCTCTGAGCACAATGTGACCAGATGGGCTATTAGGCGCGAACTAAAGCGGAGCCTACGTGTTGACAAGGAAGCCTGGTGGACCAGTAGACTTCAAGAAATGGAGGAGGCGGGAGCAGTACGCAATTACCGCAAGCTCTTCCAGCTGAGCCACACCACTGGTCTCAGGAAACCAGGCGTCAGTGAGACAATCAGAGACAGCGCGGGTGCATTGACACACAAGAAGGAGCACCGTATAACTTGTTGGGCAGAGCATATTCAAGATGAGTTCAGCTGGCCCCTGCTCTCGGACCTCTTCCTACGCATATGTAATGCAGGACGAGCCATGGACAGTTAGTTTAGAGCATCGGTCAGAGGCCGAGGTCCGAAACTCGATCACAGCCCTCAGTCGTTTTCGTGCCGCTGGCCCGGATTCCCTCCTACCTGCGCTAGTTGAAGACGGAGGTGAGGTCCTCTGCAAACCACTGACCTAATTCGAACGTATCTGGAGGAAATGTCCCGGCTGATTGGAGCAAAACGATTGTAGTGGCAAAATACAAGATGGGCAGTCACATAGACTGTTCTAACCACATGGGTATTAGTCTAACGTCAGTTGTGACAAGATTACTGGCCTCGATTCTCGTTCGTCGCCTCAATGCGGAACGGGATTCTCAGATTAAGGAAGAGCAGGCCGGTTTCCGCCAGGATGTGGTTGTGTAGACCAAATTTGCACTTTGCGGCAGGTGCTAGAGCACCGCCACGCATACCGCAGACCGACAATAGCTGTGTTCCTCGATTGTAAGGGTGCGTTCGATGCAGTCGATCGATCGATCCTGTTCGAAATACTTGCGCGGAATGGTGTTCCCAAGAAATATGTGAACATCCTACGTGCTCTATACTCGGACACTAAAGGCCGCGTCAGGGTCTACGGTGGCCAATCGAATAGCTTTCCGCTCACAAGTGGCGTTCCTCAGGTTTGTCCGATTTCCCCAATTTTGTTCCTTGGGGAATCTCAGGATGTAGGCGTTAAAGTGCTACCTGGTGAAAGATTAGTTGATCTTGATTATGCGGATGATATCGTCGTGCTTTTCGACGATGTTGCGGCTGCACAATCAGCCCTGAATAGCCTGTCTAGAGTGATTCCATTATTTGGTGTGCACTTCGCACCATCAAAGTGCAGTGTTGCTGCAGGACCACCGGCCACTTTATGACCCCTTGACAATTGATAACGAAAAGGTGGTTGACCAATTCAGTTAACTTAGTAGCTGCATCAGCAACGATGGGCGCATAGAAACTGACATCAGCTCACCTATTGCAAAAACCAGAGCTGCCTTCTTGAACGTGCGGCATCTTTGGCGACAGAAGGGAGTTTCCCTCCGTCTGAAAGGCCGTGTATACAAGGTCAAAGTGAGGGCTGTTCGGCTCTATGGTAGTGAGAAGACCCCTTCGGTCTGAAGATCTGAGGCCCCTTCAAGTCTATGATCGTCGTTGTCTGCGAAGCATTGCTGGTGTCGGATGGCACAAGCGTGTCCGCAACGATGATGTGCGTAGGCGAGTACTAGGTGGTGGTAATTATGTTATTTCCTTAGAACAACAGAAGCACTTAAGTAGTCGCATTGGCCTAAGCACATGCTAAGCATGCCTGGTCCCCGCTTACCTAGGAGGGCGTTGTTTAGTCGGCCAGGTGTAGGGTGGCGCAAGGCTCGCGGTGGACAGAAGTTGACTTGGCAGCGGGGAATGAAGTTACTGACGACCAAACTGTGTGCCCTTGCTCCGTATCGTCTTCCGGGCTGGAGTCCACGTGACTCGCCTTGTGCTTGGCTCGAGACTTTACAGGACATGGCTCGCACTAGACACCAGTGGCAAGTCTGCTGCCGTCTCCTAATCGGATTGCCTGTTTAAAGCGTGTTTGTTGCTGAGTTAGCTGAGGTAATGGCTGATTATGGCGCGGGGCAGTGAAGTCCGCAAGGAAGCTGTCTCGTCAACGACGCCTTATCTTTGCACGATAGGCAGCTGTTGGTGATGGTGTGTTGTTAACACATGGTGTAGCCGCCTTGAACCTGAATGATTGCTTAAGGCATTAAGGTTTTCAGCTTAGTCTCCTGTTATTATTCCTTGTTTCATAAGTCATCATTTTGTATGTCAGCGAAGCATCAGCTCGAATGGCTGATGTACTGCTGTTGAGGATGGTAGTGGTGGTGATGATCATGATGATGATGATGATTACTGATTACTAATTGGAAGCAGCACGTAGAGTTAGCTCTGTGTAGCTGCATCTAGCATCACTCAGGGACAAAGACCCGTCATGTTATGTTGCGCTTAATATATTTTGAGTCGGTAAAGTGTTTGTCCAGGAACTTCTTAAATTCCGACACCGACTTTGCCTCAAGTACGCGCTGCGGCAAGCCGTTCCATACATTCCGCACTCAGCGTTCGAAATAGAGCTTGTAAGCGACCCGCTTTAATTTCGGTATAACACACTTGTACCGGTGTCCCCGTGTGTTGCTTGGTATGCGCCGATGAAGCAGCGGCCTCAACCCAGATGTAATGTCCGGTGCGCCATGATGAGGTCAACCCGAAGTCGACGATAAGCTAGGGTGTAAAGCCTTAGTTTCTTACATCGGTCTTCGTACGGCATACCTCGTAAGTTGGGAATCAGCCTGGTGGCTACATGCTGCACTCGCTCAATATTATCTACCTCACCGCGGGTGATAGAACAATACGCGGGAGAGCCATACACTAGCATCGGTCGTATTATTGTGACGAAGAGGCGTGGCAATCTCTTCGGAGCAAGTTCTGAAGCCGCGCCTGAGCGCCCGAAGCATACGAAGGCTGTTTTGCTAAAGTCTATTCGTGGTCTCCATGGACTTTAGGTCGCAGTGTGAGAGTACAACTAGGTCGCGCACGAGGCGCGGGATGCAACGGTTGACCAGCCACCGTGTAGGTTTGACTGTGCTCACGTTAACCCAGCCTTATAAATTGCGACTTGACCGGGTTAGTCGGAAGGTCGGCCACTGCAGACGAAGTGGAGAAGCGGTAGAGGTCTTGCTGGAGCAGGTCAAAATCACTGGGCGTGCGGATTACTCTCCACACCTCCAAGTCATCTGCGAACAACGCACAAGGTGAATGGAGTAAATGTGGCACATCATTTACACGAATCCGAGACAAAATCGGCCCCAGTACAGTGTCTTGTGGCACGCCAATGCTCCATGGATACCAGTCGGTTCATTGGTTGTCCACTTAGACCCACCACTTTGGATCAACAAGGAAATTCCTGATCTACTGGTGCAGCGAGCCATCAACACCGTACATCCTCAGTCTGTCGAGGAGCACTGTATGAGTTACCTTGTCAAAAGCCTTACTGAAGTCAATGTAAATGACCTCGACCAACTTGCCTTGGTTCAGCGCTTGTAACCATTCGTGCCTCGTCAACAGTAGATTGGTGATGCACAAGTGAACTTTCAGGAAACCATGCTGTGCGGGCGTCAAGAGGCTTTTCGACTCGAGAAGCTGCAGAAGACTCTTCTTCACAATCTTCTCGAGCGTTTTTGCCAAAACAGCGGTCAGGCAGATCGGCCGGTAGGTATCCACTTTGCGTAAGTTACCACCTTTTGGTATTGGCTTTACGACTGAGCATTTCCAGTCGCCCGGTAATATTCCAGTGGATAGTGACCTGTTGAACAGCGAGATGATGGTCGATAGGGACTTGAGAATCAGTGGGTGGATTCCATCTGGCCCAGCAGGTTTCGTCCCGTCAAGACTTGCTAGAAGCTTGCGTACATCATCAATGCTGCAGTCTAGGCTGTCTAGT